ATTACCAATATTACTAAATTAGTGTTTTTATAATGTAATATGTATATATAATAGGGAAGACCAGGATTACCTGGTGTACCTGGCCCTCCTGGACCAAGAGGATTACCTGGAGAACAAGGAAATCAAGGTTTTAGGGTATGTGTCAATAAAAATTTATTTTACAAATTAATTTATTCTTCTTTCTTTGTAATCATTATTTTCATTTGGAGAGCCCCAACATAGAGTTTCGGTTATGTATTAATTCTTTGATAACAATTTTAATTGCATTACAAAGAGGAAACCTTTGAGCAGTTAAAACTTTATACTTGAATGAACATTTTTGGCCATGTAAATGGCAATCTTAAGGTTCCAAAGGTTGAACTAATATGAAACTCAAATTTTAGAATACATAAAGAATGACACTTGCACACAGTTTCCAGAAGAATACAGTAGAATAATGGATTACATTGTATCAACAGGCTAATTATAACACTTCAGCTTCAACCAAGAGTGAAAATAAATTCTTTTTGGTGACATACAATGATGATCTGCACTGTCTCCTATGTGGTTTCAAGCTAGTCAAGGATTCAACCATAGCATAATGTAGGAAACCAATGGTTTATTGCTTGCTTAATGAGGTTCAAACATCAGGTTCAAACATCAGGTGTTTACAAAATACCCATGTTTCATCCCAATTTTAGAGTTGCATTGTCATATGTTAGATATACCTCAAGATTTGGTTATGAGTTTGAAGGAGCAGAGAAGGGATATCAACACTAATAAATATAATATAACCCTAGTGGCTATCAACAAATATAAGATGGGATGAGGCCAGGATTTAAGAAGGTTTCTAATATGTCCAGAAATAGATTTATGAAGTTCTGCAAATTTATATACAGTGGATGATTGGTTAATGAACATAATACGTTCCAAGATTTTGTTCGCTATCCGAATTGTTCATTAACCGATTATCAATTCACCATAGGTTTGTATGGGAATTTGATTAATTCGTTCTGGAGACCCCAAAACATAAAAAATATATACTTTCTTACTACATTCATTTATATGTAATAATAAAAATACATATCTATGCAGTCTTGAATTTTTATTAGTTATGCTTTTTTGTTTGTGGGGGTTTAAGAATCTGTCTAATGACGATTACTTTTCTCTCTTCTTCAGGATTTTCATAAGTAATTAATAGCATTGTAATTGTAGAGAAGCCTATTAACCTCAACCTGGTTTGTATACTATTCTAATACTGTTGATCTGACATCCCCCACTTCTTCAAAAGATCTTTAATTAATAGCAAATATCGGCATTAATCCTGTTTTTCGTAATAAAACATATCTCGCTGAGTTTCTTGGTGTTATTCATTCAAGAGTTCTTGGCGCTCTTCTGTCATCAGATCCATTTCAGGTTCCATTATGAGCTCTTCAATGTTCTTTATTTCTCAGAAGTGATTTTTTGTTACTCCTTTAGCTGCTTGAGTCTTCTTGATTATACTGTATTTTTCTTAGATAAGATTAAACTGCAGCCTACTGTAGACCTGTTCAAGCCATCCTGCCCAGCAACATCAGACATCTTCTGCCCACTCTCTATCTTTGCTATTTTACCTTTCAAAAATAAAACTCAATGCAAAACTTAATGAGTGCCCACCCGACAGTTTCACGAATACTATAAAAGAATTGTTTCTGACAGAAAAATAAAAGGCTGGAATTACAAGGGAGAGTTTCAAAGTTTGGAGGAATACTATCTGATCAGTATATTCTGGATTGAGCGTTGATGTTGACATCTCCAACACCGAAAAGTTTCGAATTGTTGCCTGAAGACAAGGGAAAATCAATCAGTATTTGCTATTTTCATTGCTTCTTTTTATGTTTGTTCAGTGAAGTGTTCATTATCCGAACATGTGTTTGTTGTCCGATCATAAAAATCTTTCGTGAAAGTGTTCATTATCTGATTTATTTGTTAACCGATTACCCACTGTATAAGCCATTACTGTTGGATTATTAATAAGAAAGATGATACATTTCATTCATCCTGGAAGTTCCTCCTTAAGGAACACATCAATTTGACTTCTTTATTGTTATTATATACTTTTATTCTCTTATTATTAGTTGTAATTTTTAAAATTAATTTCATTATCTTAATTTTTAATCTTTTGATGTTATTTAATTATATATATTTAATGTTATGTATTCTAGAATTTGAATTTCATATTAATTCAATTTTTGGAACCTGAGATTGCCGTTTACAAGACTGAAAATGTTCATTCAAATATAAAGTTTTGACTGCTCAAAGGTTACTTCTTTGTAATTTATTTAGTGAAGCAGTTGTTCATTACTTTAAGCTTATTGTAATTGCATATGAATATGAAATTGAATACCTATTTTTTATTAATACCTCATTAATTTTTATAATAAGAATGAAACAAGTCTTACTTTCTCATGAGTAAATTCTATTTAATCTTTGATTTACTCTAAATTTAAACACCTGCATTAGTACTTATTATAAAAATTGATATAATTATTTTTAGCTTATGCAAAACTTGCTATATGACTAAATTTTTGAAATTGTAAATTATTAAAATGATTTTTGCCTAATATACTGTAAATTTCAGCATATTAGTAGATTTGATGTATAAAGCCAATCAAGANGTAGATTTGATGTATAAAGCCAATCAAGATTTTTAGTTCAAAATTCTGATTTAGACTTATAATTATTATTTTAAAAGTGATTAAAGTCTCTGGACATGAAGCAGACTGGAATTGAAATGTGAATAAGATATATGGTATTTATATTAGATATTTGTTGGAGATTTTTCAGACTTTAAAAGTTGGCTTAAATGTTGCAATTTATGTTAGTCAAATGTATTAGTCATTTGCTATTATTAAATGACTAATACATTATACATTAAATTATTAAAACTTTAAAAAATTGACATAATTTATAATATAACACAACATATTTAAATAGATAAAAGAAACCAATAATTAAAAATTATTAATATTAAAAATTTAGAAATTAAAATGGTTAAATTTTTAATAGCAACTAATTTATTTTTGATTTTAAAATGATAATTGATTAGTAATTCTATTCAAGGATTAAACATTTATTTGTTAAATAATATATTGTAAATAAAATATTTTTATTTTAGGGAGATCCTGGAGAAGGTGGAATTAATTCAATTGGTGTTAGAGGAGATCGAGGAGAAGATGGCTATCCTGGAGAACGTGTACATTAATTTTTAAAAGTTTTTTAATACCAATAATTGTTTTGACCATAATAATAATAATAAATTTGAATTTAATTTTACATAAGATTTAAATTAAATATAAAAATTTAGAAATTTATTAATTATTCTATATTGTAAAATATAAGTACAACATAGTGTCAAGTGTTGTCATGTCATATCACTTCTTGTCATCTGATATCATATCATATCATATCATTTGAAATCCCACACCACTAACATGGATCTGAAATGATATTTTTACTAGGAAATACTTTACACAAGTTTGATGTAGCATTCTAAAATATGATGCTATAGACAAGATAAATGTAGTTGCATTTTAAATGAAACACTTGCTTATAAATTTCATGAGTTTGAATGATTATATGTATTAAAAAACTTTAAAATGGAACTGTTTTCCTGTAGGCCTTGATTGGTGTAGTCATAAGACTAAAGTCAATCGGTAAGAACTGATTTAATATTCACATAAAATAATAACACCAATACAATATCCAGCAAAGGAAAAAGAACTTTACTGCAAACAAATGCTTTTATCTATCTAAAATGAATATTTTCAGGTTTAAGTGGTAGAACACAAAGTATGCTTAAACCTGAAGATGTCTGTTTTAGATGGATGAAAGCACTTGTTTGTAGTAAATTTGTTTTTCTTTTGCTGAATATTAATGTTTGTGTCATTATTTTACTTCAGTACTAACCCAGTTCTCATCAATTGACTTTAGCCTTAATAATGGCTATGCCAACCAAGGTCTACAGGAGACTAGTTGTGAAACTGTGCAGAATATTGAAGAAGTTCAATTAAAATTGACCAATTTTTTTTAACATTGTCAAATCAGTATTTTAAAAGACTAGTTTCATAGTATGATTCCTCCATGAAAACAATAAGTACAGTAGTACCTCAGGATACGAAATTAATCCATTCCGAAACTGAGATCATATCATGCAAATGTTGTAAGGTGAATCATTTTTCTTCATACGATTACATGTAAAACCAAATAATTCGTTCCAACACAAAAAACACACTCAAATTAAAGCTAAGTAGTACATTAAAAAGAAATAATAAATATAGTAAGGAAACACTGAAAAATGCATTTTGTAGTTGTAAATGTATAAATAACCGTAATAGAATAATAATTGATAAAAAAAAATGTAGTTTTATTTGCACTTTACCTTTGAGGATAGATGACAGTGGAGGTGTAAACTGGTGGAGGAGGTGAGGGAGAAGGGAAATGATACTAAAACTTAACTTACATAGCATAATGTAACAATAACTTAAAAATAACTTAACACTAATTTTTTATTCACTGCTTTTTGCTTTCTTTCCTTTACTTCCACCAGCACTTTCACTGGATAGAGGTCGCTTGGTAAAATATCTATCCAAAGAGGTTTGGCTTTGCCTACTTTTTAAAATGTTTCTAAAATGACTTAGGCAAGTGTCATTACTCTGAGCAGCAATACAGCCAGTGTGAACCTTTTTGGGATGTTTCTTTTCAATAAAATCAGTCACTTTCTGATAATACCTCAAGATTTCCTTTATCGAGCAAGATTCTTCCATGATGAAGCAAACACGCGGACTGAGACCGATGAACAGAAGTGAATAAAAAATGGCACTGCAAACTAATGTAATGTTGTATGGTCAGTTTTTGTTCATACCGTGGAGCAAAAATATGTTTGAATTTCTTGTTGTATCCTGAAAATTTCATATGCTGGAGCATTCATATCCCGAGATACTACTGTAAAAATATACAAACATTAAACTGATTAAAGGAGCCAAAATTTTATTAGATTAAACAATTTTTGGGAGACCTCTGTCTCATTGTCATATTCCTAGAACATTTGAATCAGAAAATTTGAAAAACAAATTGAACATTCAATGGAACTTTATAGATGTTCTTGTGCAAATTTTCTGATTTCAATGTTCTAGGGACCTGGTGAAGAGGTATCATGAAAAACATTTAATCTAATAAAATTCTTTATCCTTTAGCTTGTTTAATCAATTTATCATTTGTACATTTTTACTTGCTTAATGTTTTAAGTTATTAAACTGTCTTAAAGTTATTAAATTACACCAAAATCATTTATTTTTATTTTAGGGTCCTGTAGGATTAACAGGTTTTACTGGAGAGAAAGGACCAAGAGGCAGTCCTGGATTACAAGTAATTTACTTTTACATTAAATTATATTATTTTTGAAATAATTGTGACTGTTGTGTTTAATTTTAATTATATAAACATTAAATTGTAACATAAATAATATGAAAGATGTTACAATAATCCTTTTAATATATTTAGAGTTATCTGTGAATATAAAAGGTTTTAATAAATAAATGAACTTTTAGTGAATATTTATGCTCTGAGAACATAACATTAATCTAACATTTCATAAGAAAATATTTTTAGAGCTTAAAAATGCATATAAAATAGTAGAAAATTAGAGATTAATTTTAAAATTATTTTGAAAATTATAAATATTCATACAAATATATACAACCAAAACCTGATATATTAAGCAAATATACACCCACAACTGCTGTAAATGAAGGGCTAAATTTGGATATAATCAATGGTGATATTCAGTGGGTTCGCACAGGTTTGGCTGAACCTGTTGTTAACATTTTAAAAGTTTTCCAAACCTTGTTAAACACATGTAACATTTCTCAGTGGTTTTGCTTCTTTTAAAAAATATATTAAAATATACATACAGTGGAACCCCGGTTAACGAACGTAATCTGTTCCACGAGTCTGTTCGTTAACCGAAGCAATTTTTCCCATAGAAATTAATGCAAATACAATTAATTCATTCTAGACATCAGTATTTTTGTAATTTTATTTGTAAAATGGGTTTTCTTTAACGAAAATATAGGAAAACGTGCTTATAAACAGTCGATCTAGGTTAAATTTTTGGAAAAGGGGAAAGATTTGATGGGTTAAAAACATCACATATGGTTGTTAAAGTTCTAAAATGACAGATAGAAGAAACAATAGGCTAAATTATGAGCGAAAGGCTTATAGGTTTATCAACAATCTCTGATCAGAGTTGACAAACAGGTGTCAAATAAATGCCTCGGAACAAACCTTTCTTGTGACCTGATCTGGTTTCAGTTTTCACCTGGAGACAAAGAAGAAAACAATCAGGAAGCGAGGAATGGGACGCAGGACTAATCATAAGGTGAGATTCAAGAAAGAAATACTATAAAAATCCCGAATCTCAAGGTCAAAACGCAGTTTTCCTAAAAATTCTATGGCGATTAATCTGTGTCGTCTTCATCTGGATTAAGCCTGAAGTCATGCCTGCTAAAATTTATGTTGTGTCTCGCGGACCGCTCCAGTTGTTGCAGTCTGTCACCTACCATCGCTTCTGTGACCAAGCGAACCCATCTCGTCCACTCTGGGGCTACGACTAATCAGCTTGCACTATTGTAGGACCAGCAATATGCCACTCGTCAGTGCCGAGAGAAAGTACTGTAGATAAGCCATTTCCAACTACCCAAATATGTAAGCATCTTCCCGTTCTAATAAACGATTTTCACTGTAAGGCTAAGACTCCACTACCGTAAAAACAGTGTAAAAACCCCTCGCCGTAAAAGCTTTTAATCACGTGACTCCGATATCTTACGCTTGAGCAGGCCGTAAAACCAACGTGAAAGCGAGTTGAGCAGTGTTTAACTTTGGACGCGAATACGGCTGTAAAACGGTACCATCCACCAATCAGAAGTCAGTTAAATCTAGGTCATTGTGACGCGGTGCAAAAATGGTGAAAAACGAGCTTTTGTGTGCTTTCCCTCGTGTCTACTCTAGAATAGATCTGGAAAGATTTATTGAAAACGTCCGAAAGTATTCGTGTATCTACGACAAGAAGTATCCGATTATAATAAAGGAATGCCTAAATCACGCGATAGGGATGGCCAAAGGAAAATCCTTCAATTTAGAGGAGTATATAATGAAAAAAAGCTAAGCTTAATAAGTGCTGTATATTATCTTAATTAATAATACAATA